TTTACAGCCCTGTAGCCTAAATGATTTCCAATTTACTGTGCTGCTATATTAGGTCAATATATAATACCTTGGGCCACTCCAGAAAGATTAACCAGAAGTGGATTCCCTTTCCAATCAAATAGTCACCGCTATAAATTAGAGTTTCTTTTACTATATTTGATTGCATTTCTGCCACTTTCCCTATCAAGTGCAATAAAACAAACACCCTCCGCAGCCCCGCCACTCCCCAGCACCTAATCTTGAGACAAAGATGCGTAACTGCAGAATTTGGGAGACTCTGTGCCATATGCACGACTGGCTGCAGCTTCCACCTACGTTACTCTGAGTCTGTGGTTCGTTGTTTCCCCCCTCAGTTACTGGAAAGAGTTTTCCCCGGTATGAATTTTTTCCATCTTGCATTTTACCTCCGTGCAGGATTGCTAGGGTTTTTTTGTTTGTTTGCATCACGATTCCCACCTGGAATATTAATATTTAATATTTAAAGCACAAATTATTTTCCTACTCTTTGCATGTCTAGTACGCTCATGGTTAAAGTAAAATGCTACAAAATACAAATTCTAGAAGTGCAAAATTCAGAAGACAGAGATTTCCAGCTCGTTTTCTTTTTATCATCTTTTTTTTTGCCACACGCCTCATGATTTTGACAGTCCTGACACAATATTTTTGCACACCCAAAGATGGCAAGGCTGTCTGATGCCATGACATCCAGACACAGTCAAAATACCCTTTTCTTTGCACTTGAAAATCAAGACTGAAGCAGCCTGTGTACACTCGCTATTCCAAAATTAGACCGCCCATAAATTTAACATGTTCAAATAATGGGCTTGCATATGCAGACAGTCAAGCAAAAGGTACAGTTTTCTATTACAAGCAACTTGTTAGACAGGATATTTCAGCTTCCCAAGATATTAATGGATACTTAGTAAAGGTCTTTTTAGAGTGACAATACACTTCATTTTGTTTGCCGAGTCAGTAACAATGAAATCACTTTTTGTATTACAAAGCATATGCCAACGTGACATGGTGGCAGCAGCTCCTGGAGCAGCCCTATCCCAAGCTACGAACCAGTATTTTCCTTCTTCGCTTCTTATTTGAATTGCAAAGAACAGTTTAAAAAAGAAAGCAGAGATCCTGAGGCATGCAGCCAGCAGCAAAAGGAGGCTTTTGGAGTCCACGCGCCAACTATCTTCATGTGGGGCTGTGAAGGAGAACGCGGTTTTATGGCGTCTCCAAATCTGGAGCAAAAAGCAAAGCAGCTACGGGACTAAATACAGAATAAGATGCCAGCGTTTGAACTTAGCATTGACAAAAATCAGCCATGCATCCAACAGAACCACAACTGCCCTGTGCCAACGAGGGCCTGAGGGACCCAGGGTGCAGGAGGAAAGGTCCCACAGGGTGTCCTGGCCATGGCTGGGATGGAGAGGCAGTGAACTGGGGCGTGGAGGGTTCTTTGGGTGGCTGTTTTCTATGGGACAGACCCTTGCAGGAAGCATGAACCAAGGCCACCACGATGGGCCAGAGAAATGCTCTTCCATGTGAAGAGCTCTCTGTGGTGATGGAGGTTGGTCCACCTTAACCACCTGTGAAGCCCCAACGGGGTGCAAACACCATGTCTGAGACAGCAGCTCGGGTGGGACAGCTCCAGATAGCTCTGGGAAAAACTTGGATTAACATGGGACAATCAGCTGGGAAAGGAAATGGTTTGAGCAGCCAGGTTTGAGGGGCACTGCAGAAGTTGGAAACTGGAGAAAAAAGGTCAAGTAACTCAACCACACACAAATCATTGCCTAAGAAGCAACTAAAAGAGCAGCTGCTGGGTACAGGATGGCTACTGGGAAAATGGAGCAGAAAAGCCAGTCTGTAGAAGTGTCTGAAGAGTTGATAAAGAGAGAACAGAACGGCTCAGGTTGTAACGGAGGTATGAACTCACTGGGAAGAAAAAACTCAACTCCTTCCGTCCTGGAAGTACCCCCATGGCTGGACCTCCCCGTGCCTACACGTGGCTTTGGCACTGCAACGCAAAGATCTCACCCCAAGAAGTGTCTGAAGAGTTTCCATAGCAAGGGTTGAAGTTCACTACTAAGAGCTGCGTGCCCTTGACAAAGCTTTTCACTGGAGAGCCACGTTTGCGCAGTCCCAGTGGTAGCAGCTGAGGAGATTTAATTCCAAACACATTTACATTATTATGCAAATATTTGGAAATCATCAACTCCTTCACTTACCTACTAAGAGCTGAGTTAAATGTTTCCATGGGAACAGCAACTATTAACCACTATAGTTAATATTTTTATTCTGGTAGTGTCCAGAGAGCTCAATGAAGATTGAAGACAGCTTGTACAAGGTGCTGTACGAATGTGGAGGATGAAAAAGTCTCTTGTTGAAAGGCAAAGTGTAATGTTTTATGAGATTCAAAGTCAAGTACCAGTTCTACCTGGACATGTAAGAACATGGCCAAATTTGCTTGCAACAAACCCAGGAGCCTCTCCTACACCATTTAACCAAATTAAGAGCCCTATTTATATAGTTTTGCCTTGAATCCTATAGCATTTCACGGTCAGATAGAGATCTTAATAACTACCCCAGCGCAATCCAGTCCCATAATATCAACCCAGTTCTAGGGACGTGAGAATTCCTCCCTATGCCTGTAATCTTTAGCTGAGTACAAATGTAAGTTAAATACGCGTGAGATTAGCAGTGGTGAGGTCATCGGGAGGCAGGACATCATCAGGGGCGTCTTGAAAATCAAAGGTGTACATTGCTCCCTTCCACATGTGGTCAAAAGTCAAGTCGGGACTCAAAAGACCCTAAAAGTCACAAGATTTTTGAAAAAAATGAATGCACTCGGGGTTGGTTTTTTTCCCCCCTTAGGTTTCAAGTCCACAGCCATGGCAGGTTTCAAGCACCTTTGCCACACGCAGGGCTTGAAAGTTGTCTGAAGAGAGTGACCAGAGCAGAAGCTGCCATCCCACCTAATCTCTGGATGATGGTGATGCTCATAGACGTCGAGGTACTAGACTGGAAACCTCCTCCCCACTGCCACAGGCTCTCCTGCCCAGCTTCCCTGCCAGATGGCAAGAACAAGACCTGGTTGATCCTCCTCCCTCATCTTTTGTCTGCCCAATTGATTTCTCTACTTGCTTCTTAATATTTTTTTTTTTTGCCTCCTGTGTAATGAGAGTCTGGTTTACCCAGTCAAGACTGATCCACCTTTCCCAGCACTGCAGTGATAGAAAAGCACAGCTCTAAAGGCAGCGCATTTCTGGATGGGTTCCTCCTAAAGGTTCTCCAAAAGGCAGCTCCAAAAAGCAAGCCTAAAGCGAGAACGGTGTGACACAAGGTCTGTGTCTCCACGGGGAACCTCAGAGGGGTCCAAAACCCAACAAAGTTGAACATACAGAGCTTGCAGTGGGGTTGTCCTAGCCTGCTATACCTCCAAGCCATCAATGCTTTCCGCCCCCCACAGGCTCCCTCAAGGCAGTCTGTAAGCAATAAAGCATCAGAGGCAGAAGATGCACTTCATCTTCCCACTCTGTATTGTGAACCTGTTTTGCCTTTTAAAAGGACAAGGCTTCAAACAAATGCAACAAGTCAGAAATGATTACTTCAAATCACTGACTCCTCCTCACCTGGGCCAGATCAGGCTGACTTGGAGTACGAGCAAAACTCTTGCTATAAAAGCCTGTGCAATTTTAAATGATTGATGGGACTGTGGGAATCTGTTTAAATCAAAAGAATCAAACACCACACAAATAAATTCTAAGTTTTGAATGAATGCAACCAACTCTCCTCTTTGCTATTGAGCAGAAGTTTGAAAGGTGCTTAAAGGGGCTCATTTGCACAGGATGACGGAGTGACGGCGACACAAAACCTTAAGTGATATTTGCTCCTCTCCCTCTCCTGATACCCAAAATTAAACACAACCTCATCCTGAAAAACTCCAACCGCAACGCTCTGCCGTGCTACTGCCAGACAAGCAGAGAGGCTGGCAATTTTTCCAACATTTTTTTGGATGTTTTGTTTAAAATGTCAACATGGGTTCATGAAAACTGCAGCCACCGCTGCTGAAGAACTGATAAGGCTTGCTCTGAATGGGTGGCTTTGGTGGCACGTGTCACTCCCCATGCTGTCCCCTGCCCGTGTCACCCCTCTTGCAGAGTCCAGCCTCCTACCTGTCATTTTTGTGGCAGGGTTCATTAAAGAAACTGGCACCAATGTTACCAGGAGCTTCCACCGTGGCAGCTCGGTCGGAATGACGGGAGCTGCTGAGCTGCCCTTGCAGGAGGCAGCATTTCCACATCCACTCTGAGTGCTGCCGTCCCCACCCATGAGATCCAGAAGACAGCACGCAGCCCCAGCCTTTCTGGTCAGCACCTTCTGCCCTTCTCTGTGCAAGGACTAGAGGGCTGCAGTGCAGCACACTGGCTCTTCAGATGATGCCCAACCCAGTTGGGTTTATTAGGGGACAGATGCCATCCATCCCAAATGCTCCGAGTGCAATGAGTCAAGCCCTTCGTCCAGCCAGGCAGCACTAACCCACGCAAAGACAACAATGAGGGCAATGAATGTCCCCAGATTTCAAGGAGGAGGAAAACATAGACAGCAGCTGGAGGTCCACCTTGAATGTGGCCCCCCAGAAATGCCTTTCTAGGGAAGAGGGACGTGCTGGAGCATCTGAAGGAGACAACACACTTCTTGTCACCCACAAGTGCCCACCCTTGTCCCAGGACAGGCAATGACACTCCTGTTTGGCATCCCAAACTTTGGTGCCAAGACACCCAAGTTCAGCGCTCGCTGATGAGCTGAACTATAGAAATGCTCGTCCCAACTGGCAGCCGCAGACACTGAGAAGAAAAGCAACTCATTTCCATACACAGACTGGGCTCCTCTTGCTTTCAAGAGCTATTAGGTCGAGACATTGCTTGGGGAGGATGGGATGGTCTTTCTGAAAAAAAATCACCAGTACATGCATGTTTGCAGGAGAAAAAAGAAGGTCTTACCTGTTTCTCCCCATATTGGCAAATATTCATCCTGCTGTATGTCTAGCATGATCTCCAGTCCATTGCCTGTCCCACCCTTAACCGTGGTAAGAAGAGGCCGTCCTTCTTCTCCTGAGTTAAACATGTAGCATTTCCCATATTTTGTAAACACCTGTGAGGAGAGAAGAGAGAAATAATATAGTATTTCCCATATAATCAATGCCTCTTCCCACCCGAACACAGGCAGAGGGATGAGAAACGGCCACATGCCGCAGCTCGAAGGGAAATGTCTGCAGAATAATCTAATCCGGTTTAATCATTTAGCGTTATTGTGTTCTCCTTACAGAAAATAAAAGATGAAAGAGAGGAAGGGAAAGCCGTTTCTGAGCAGCGAACAAACGTCTTCAGCAGCTCACCAGAGTAATATCATGTTAAGTCTCCAAGAAACACACGTACACGCTGTGTTTGAGCTTGTACTGAAATATAACTCAATTCCTCGGTTTTGTGCGAGGCACCTCAGTTCACCACCGCTGTGTGCTCACGGCTGCAGACCTAGAGGTGGGCTCATCCCCAAAGGATGGAAACGCCAGCACTGAAGCCCACGCCTACTCCATGCTCATCCAGCTGCTGAATATCAAACCCTGTAGGCACGGCTCATGCCCACTGCTTTCCACCCAAAGGGAGCAATGTGAACGATGCCTGTGCTCTCCCGACACAGAAAAATGCAATATCCCGTTCATTCCTCACTCTGCCGCTGCTTGGCAAATGGTAAGAGTTAAAAACACTTGGGCAAATGAGGAAAGATTTCCTCCATCGCTTTTGCTTTTTCTTTAGTCTCATTTTGGCCCATCTCTTGAAAGAAATTCTGGGCAAAGCCCAGGTGGGGGCTGCCAGGCCACCAGCAGCTCTGCAAGGTGGGGCGGACATGGGTTTCCAACTGGGGTGGCTCTTGGTGGAGCAGCAGAGATGTGACTTCTTTGATCGCAGTGGCATTGATGGTCTCAGGCATTGACAAGTCCTGTGCTCAGCCTTCCCTCAAACTGGGAGAACACATGGAAAACCACAGATTAAAACACAAGAAGTCCCTCCTACGCCTTGCACTGACAGACTGGGGGACATGCAGATGTGCAGAACTTCTTCCTATAGTAAAAGAGGATAAAATGGCTCAGAGCCATTTAGAAATCCCCCAACTATCGCACGTGGTGACTCCTGACAAGCACCAGCGTGAAACGGGGAGTGTGAGTCGTCTTCGAGTCACTCTGCTGCTTCACGGCTCCGGAAAGTCCGGGTTTTGCAATCAATAAGCAACCAGCAAACACCAGGAATGAATATTCAGAGCGAAGGGAGCCCGACACCAAGCAGCGCGCTGGCTGCAGTCCCGTCAGAAATCACAAGTTGCTAATGCAGTTGCTGAGATCATGCGGCCCCAAGATGATTTATAAAACTAAACAGAAGCTGGAGTCATCAGCAATCTATTCCCCTCAAATATTGACATATGCCTTATAATCACATCATCAGGGAAGCAGGTGAAAAAAGAGAAATATGAAATCATATTCAAGATAAAAACCTCCAATGGGAGCAAAAGGCTCGCAGAGAATATGAAGCATTTGCAGGAAAAAAAAAGTATGCCCTTTAAAAAAGATTTTATATCCAAGTGAAAATCCCATTTTAATACTTGACTGACCTATTAAACCATTCAAGCTGGAAAGATAAAGCTGAACAACAGTAAGCCTGTGTTAGCAGCCAGTGCCCGTAGATGGGTTTTCCCAGATAGGCTTTGAAGGCAGAAGTAAAAAATATCTAATTAGGATAGTTTAAAATACAGCAAGGAGAAAACTTGCATTAGTGAAAATCATGGGACAAGCAAGCTTATATTGAGGGCAACAGCGCAATCTAAATGCTGAATAAGGATTTCGATGCTGATGTACCCAGTGCAGTCTTTAGCCAAATGAATCCAGGCAATTTTATGGGGCTTTTTATACAGCCCTTTGCAGCTGTACAAATTTAAGTGTAAAATCTCCAGTTAGGGCATGTTTATCCAACAAACAACATCTAAAGTGACAGGGGCCCAAGGCTCACTTCAGCTGCATGTCCGGAAGCCCAATCCCAGAAAAAGAAATCAAATGGTGACTCGAAAAGGAAGGGACGTTCCTCCGTCCCCTCAGCAAGCGACCACCAGAGTCCATGAAAGGCTGCTGGCCATGGCCAAGAGCTCATCTGCCATGACGTTGGCAGATGTTTCTCCTGCACAGAAGGAGAAGATGGAAAACCTGGGATGTGTTGACACATGTATGGAAGAAATGCAATTGCTTCCCAGCCCCACATCTGCTCCTGAGCAACGGCAAGGCCAGGGGACTATCTGAGACACAGCTTAAATCCATGTGTTGCTGGCTCACCTACATTGCTCCTAGGACTCTGCAAGGAAATGCTTCCAAGGAAGCCCGGTGATTTTCCGCCGCTCTTCAGGGCCACCAGCAAGCACAGAGCCTCATTAAGGCTCCTGGTGCGTATCCACCCTTTCATCTCCACAAATCAGGCAGTCACTTATGGCTTTGTATAGCCAAATACCACCCCGGAGCCATGATTGTGGTATGATGGAGAACACGAACACTTGTCCTAACAAGGACTCAGGCACCTTTTCTGAAGTACCCAGAGCTGGCAAACAACATGAAAACTTTGGGGTAGGATCACCACCAGGCTTAGACGCTAAGGAAAGAACTGGTGCTCAAGAAGAGACCAACAAGGGATACATCAGCAAACAGCATGGACGAGGAGAAGACCTACAGAGCAAAACAGCTGGGGAGGAGTCTAGCATTTGGTCCTCGATTCAGGGCTTTTTATTCCTTTGGGCCAGCTCGAGCCCGGTTTCATGTGTTGGGTGCCCGTTTGGGCTGGAGCCTATCTTTCCACTAAGTTTCATCCACAAGGAGTTGAGTGCAAGTGCACCAAGGCTCAATGCAAACCAAAGCACGGTAAGTGGGGACAGGTGGGAGATTCACTGCCGATCCAACTAAACCCCACGTAGATGCCTCCACTCGGGGTTTGAGCTGGCTGCATGCTGCTCCCACTGCTCACCTCCAGCAGCCCTCCCTGGGTGAGCACACCAGGGCCAAGAGGACCCAGGCCTGAAAGCACAGAGAATTGAAAATCAAAGAGAATAAACTGAGGAGGAAGAAATGAGAGCCTCTCCCTGCAGGACAAGGTTGCTTGCAGGGACCCTATTGGAAAGGCAGCCATGAGCCACGAGCAGTGGTACTGCTCAAGCAGCGACTGGGGATGCCTTCAGGCAATCTTCTGCTAGGTTTAGCCCTGCTCCCAGGCAGAAAGGAGTCACAAATACATCAAACAAACAAAGAAGAAAGAAAAAAAAAATGGAAAAGGAAGAAGGAAAGGAAGTCACCGTGCTCACTGCAGCTACAGACATCCCTAGAAGCCTCTGAAGAAGCCCCCTAGACCTCTTGCTAGCTCCTGCGCTACAGTCCCAGCAGTCACCACCCTACTATATACGACACGCCACACATAACGGCAGCTTCACCTCTATGTACAACCTCTCCACATCCCATCCATCCTGCTCTCCACCGACGCTGCACGGAGCAAGCACCTTTCTGAGCATGGACACGGTGTTTAACCTCAGCTTGAGAACACCAGTGGCCGTTTCACAGTGATGAAGGCTTTGAGGCCCCCAGCCTTGCTTAGGAGGGAGTTGTGGACAGACAGCAGGCATTAAAGAAAGCCCCACAGGGTTCATTTTTCCTCCCCAGCACAGCTCCCATGGGATGCCCATGCCCCACTGCCAGCTACCTTCTCCCTCAAACCCGGGGCAGGTTCCTTCCACCTCCTCTGCTGGGAGAAACCCCAGGTAGTGCGCGTCTGTATGGACAGTCTCCCACCAAACCATATAAATGCCATAAATATATGGCATCCCCATATGTAAAACTTCCCTGCATGCAGCCAAGCCGTGCAGAGCCTTGGTGCTCAATGCTCAACCGCGGTGGCAGACTACGGCACGGGACAACTGTGAGTACCTCTCTCTCGAGCCTCAACAACAAAGTTTTCCATCTCTCCCTAAGAAGCTATAAAAGACTATTTATAACAGCGTTTAAAAAGACATTGCCAAGTTCAAAAAATCCATATGCATTCATTTCAACTCACATTAAACAGGGTTGTGCTGTTCCTCACCTTCTCACCTTTGCTATGAATGATTATTTGGGAGGATGTAACTTTTTTCCAGGGGATCCTCTTGGTTTCAGGGTCTTTTGGGCTCCCTGATAACCAGGGAAGGATTCAGTGTGTTATCAGATCCTCAGGATAAAAGGATAGAGCTGTTCGGAAAGGGCAACATCAGAATATACTAACTGCCGCGATACATCTGAGACAGTAAACACGAGGCAAAGCAGAATGATTTAACCTCAGTTTATTTGTCTTAGGGGAAAACAGCACTCCTCGCTGTTAGTAATGTTTTAACTTGCAATAAAAAGAAGGTCCAGCACAAGCCAGAAACAAAAATACAAACATGTACCTTGAGAATAGTCCAATAAAATACCAATTTTTTTCTTTGATGGATCACTTGTTACTTTTGACAGCTCCTCTGAAAATCCCCATTTAAGTACAAAGGTGAACGTTCAAAATCTGTGAAATAGTATTTGAGTAACACAATGAGCCCTTCTTTAGCGCGTAAAGGGAAAAATGTGAAATTAAAAAGCAGAGCATGGGCATCTCAAACAGACTCCATGTACAAAACAGAAGTCACCACCGTCAAAAGCTCTGAGACACCAATGTATATCCTGCTGTGTGTCAAACCAATAGGGCAAAAAAGACTGATATTCAAAACGCAAGCAAGCCTGACCAGAGTAATAGAGAAAAAAGTATTTCACAGTTTATAACCAGCATACACAGGACAAACATATCTGCTGATAAATTATCCTTTCAATACAGAGCAAAATGATGGTAAAAGCAAGTAATTTGAAGTCTGTAAATTACTTTTCTAAATCCAAACAAAGACGCAGGCTAGAGCTCACTGACAAGGCAAGACATTAGTTGTCAGATTAAGGTACTAACCATTGAAAGGAGAGCAAATTAGCATCCTTCACAATCATTTTCTCCACAAATGCGGTACACAAAGGTGTCAGACACACGTATCCTACCAAGCCACATTCAACAGCATCACAGACA